TTTGTTAGTAAAATTAAAAACTTTTATATATAAGGAAAAATACATATTTTACTAATTATAATTAGTAAAAAATTTAAACATTGCATTATTTTTGATTGCCACTATAAATATTTTTAATAATTTATATTTTAAATAATTAAATAAAATTATTTATTAAATTTTAATAAATTTAAAAGAATTTTCATAAAATTATTATTATTTTTTAATTATATATAAGAATTTTACTAAATATTTTTAATAATTTTTATTTAATAATTATTAGTTTAAATAATTAAATAAAGTTATTTATTAGATAAAAAAGTAATTAATCAGAATTATTATAATTTTTTATTATATATAAAAAGCTTTTATCAAAGATTTTTGAATAATTTTTATTTAAGTAAAATTATAAAGTAATTATTTTATTAATTTTTAACAAAATTAAATATATTTTTTAAAATTATCACTATTTTTTTAATATTAAAATAAATTTTTATTCTGATAATTTTGATAAATATACAATTTCAAACAAAAATAATGTAATAAATATTTTTGTCTATATTTTAATAATAAAATATTTAAAACTTATGAAAATTTATAAATATATTTTTTAAAATATTATGAATAAGATTTTCTAATAGTACAAGACATATTAACTTAATAAAATTTTATGAAATTTTGCATCAAATATAATAAATTAGATATTTATATAAAATAATCTTGAAAAAAAAATTATTTAAAAATATTTTTAGTAAGTAATTTTAAAAATATTTTTATAAAAATATATTTTAAAATATAAAGAATATATTTGTAAGTTTAAAAAAATTTTTTTACATATTTATTTAATAAATACCAGTTAAAAAGACTTTATTTTAATAATTTTTATAAAAAATTATAGTAAAATATAGTAAAAATGAATTTTTACTATAATTTATTATAAAATTTATCAAAATAAAGTCTTTTTTAACTGGTATTTATTAAATAAATATGCAATAAAAAATTTTTTAAACTTACAAATATATTTTTTATATCTTAAAATATATTTTGCAAAAAAATTATTTATTAAAAATACTTTTAAATAATTTCTTTTTTAAGATTATTTCATGTAAATACCTAATCCATCACATTTGATATAAAATTCTGCAAAATTTTATTAAGCTAATATATCTTATACTATTAGAAAATCTTGTTTATAATATTTTAAAGATTATATTTATAAATTTTTGTGAGTTTTAGATATTTCATTGTTAAAATATAAATAAAAATGTTCATCATTATTACTTTTATCTGGAATTGTATATTTGAATTTTATTTATATTTTATATAAAAATAATAAAAAATTAATTAATTTTTATTTAAGTTTTATTTATATTTTAATATAAAAAATTAAAATTTAATTAAATTCAAAAATAAAATAAAAATATTTTAGATTTTTTCTAGTAAAAAATTAATTAAAATATTTATTTAATATTTAATTTTTATTAATCTTAAAAAAACTAAAATTTATTTATTATCAGATAAAAATTTGATAAATTTCAAATTTTTTTTAAAATAAGTTAATAAAATCTAAATTTATTTTAATATAAAAAAAATTTACTAAAAAAATTCTTGATTTTTTTCTGAAAAAAATTCTATATTTTATCTGAAGTTTATTAGATTTTTATTTTAAATATGATTTTTATTAGATAAATATAAATAAAATTATTCAATTTTTATTAAATATATTGATAATTATTTAAATTAAAAATATAAAATTTTCTTTTTATTAAATTATATTATATATCTTTAATTTTTAAATATCTAATTTAAATACTTTTAAATAAAATTATTTTTATATATTTTGTTAATATATAACTGATTTTTTTATTTTATTTATAATTATAATCTATTTTTTATATAATTTTGATAAAAATTTATATATTTGAAATTTTTTAAATATTAACTATTTTTTAAAGTGATATAATAAAGAATTTTTGCTTAACATATTTATATTATAAATATTTTGATTTTGATAGATCTTAAAATTTATTAATTTTCTTTTATTAAAGATAAAATTAATATATAAAAAGTAATTAGTAAAAATTAAGCAAATTAATAAAATTTTATAATAATTAATATTTTATATTTCATATTTTTATATAATTAATATATAAAAAAATTCTTTAAACTATAATATTTTAAAATTTTATTATGTAAATAAATATTTATTATTAATTAAAAAAATTAATTTGCTTGTTTTTACTAATTATTCCTATATGATTAATTTCTTTCAGTTTATTTAAAAATAAAATTTTATTTTATAATATATATAATTATTAATATTAATTCAATAATTTTATTTTTTAAAAATTTATAAGTAAATTTTGTTATAAATTTATTTTTATATCTTAAAATATATACAATATTTTAGATCATGCTTTGAAAATAACTATAATTATATTAGCTAAACAACTTTAATTAATGACTAAAGACAAATTTCTTAATATATTTTTGAAATATTAAGATTTTTATAAATATTTATATTTGTAAATAATCTTAATATCAAAAATTATAGGTTCAACTAATCAATTTACATTTATAATAAAGATTTCGGAGAAAACAAATATTTTCTGTGATTTTTTCAACGATCATTCCATAATTTATGCAGGCCACTACGTTTAAAAAAGTTAGAGCATATTCCCTTTAAAGATGGCACGGATCGATCAGGTGATTAACTATTTAAATCACGTGTTACTACACGCCCCGAAATAGTAAATATGAATGAGGATTTTAACATTACCAAAATTCGTTAAATAATAATCGGAGGTACCTATTACGTGATTAATTAAATCATGCTGTGTCACACATTTATCATCACGTCATGAACGTATTAATGTAATCTTCAGTGTTTAACGCAGCTTTAAAAATTCGAAACTATATAAAAAAGTGGTCGTCACAAAAATAGGTATTAAAGATTAAAAATTTGAATTGTTCTTAGTCTATTGTATTATATCGTTTTAACGTCCTTTTTATGCTTTCCAGATTTCCGCAGACAATATTTTGTCAAAAATGTCTTTCAAATGATTCTCTCACATGCAGTAGGAATAATGTTATTAGTTACTAAATGAAAAGATTAGCACTTCGAAAAGGATTAAACCTTTTGAAGCGTGCTATTTAGATTATCATCTTGCGAATTGTAAACCCATTTGACATCACATTCGCAGTGTCGCTGTAGAAAATAAATTTTATTTATTATTATGCTGTATATACACTAACTACGAACAAAAAAGATTTAAATAATTGTAAGTTTATTGAAAAAGATAAAAAAGAAATACATTGTGGTTTATCAACTATTCAGACATAAGTAAAAATATTTTTCATTATGTGATCATTATAGAATGAAACAAGCGGGCGGTAATATTATATATCGACCTTTCAAACGTTAAGTTAAAAAGTATAATAGTAAAATTAAAGTAATATATAGCCTTAAAAGCCTTAATAAGATGAATTATAAATTCATAAGTGAATTAGTAGAAAATTTATAGTTAAACACGTGGCGCAACTAAACCAGATGGAGGAGGAAGAGTCACGTAATTTTGTTGAACTGGAACTTGTTGTCCAGAATATTGATTGTTGTTACTTTGGAGTGCAAACAAAGAAGCCAAAGCCGAGGTAGAATTCGCTTCGGAGGCCAAGCCAACAGTCGAAATTGGATGTTCATGAGAAGGTGGATTATGAGGCGCAGATTCAGAGCCTAAGGTTTGGTCCAATCCACACAAGATAGCGGTGGTACGACTAAGTAGCATGCTTAGGTGAGAAACTTCACGTTGCAATTCTTGACGATGAGCTTGCAAAACTTCACGAGTGAGAGTGTCAGCAGGAGGAATGTGAGGACGTTGTGCAGGTTGTTGCAAGAGAGTTGAAATTTGGGGAACTTGAGTATTCATAACAGGCGGCGGAATGGTAGTAATCGGAGGCAATTGAGTGTTGACATTTTTATTAATAGATGGGGAGGTTGGATTCAACAAAGCAGAAATTGAGCTTGAAGGAGGATGAGGATTACTGCTATTGCTGTTGTCGTTTCCATGATTAGAAGCTGAACTATCATTATTATTGTTGCTACGCTGACTCGATTGGAAACCAGAATAAACGGGAGAAAAAGGAGCGTTGGAAGTACCCATGCCACGTCCACCACTGTTGGGATGAATTTGAACTAAAGATGTTTCAACAGGACTCAAACTTCGACGTCTTTCATCAAGACCATTATTCCACATGCCATTATCTCCATGAGAAGCAATGCTGATACGTCTAGGTAAAATGTAGTCCTCGATGGCGGGAACTTGTCTATCGTTACCGCATTGACGTTTGCTCGATGAAACGTTCAACGAGCATTTCCTCTTTTGACCAATAGTAACGAGTGGATTACCGTCGATAGAACAATCGTCATCTTCAGACGAAAAATAACCACGTTCGGAACCAGAAGTTGATGAGGGAGTTGGAGGATGTTGAATACGATTCTTACGATTATCTGCTTCGCGATTAGTATGACGATGAGATGTAGGAGGTGAAGCAGCCGCCGCTAATGCAACGCGTTTACGACGCTTAATTACCGACCGTTTCATGGCAACTGGACGGTGCACATTATGAAGCTTAAAATAAAGACCTGTTTCGTTATTTGAAAAAGTTATTAATAATCTGGAGATAAAAAAAGTGTGAACCAGGCGAAAATATTACTACTACTACTTACCACAGGCATTACAAATAGTGTTACCAGCTTCGTCTCGTCTCCAAAGAGGGGTAGTAGTTGTTGAACAGTTGGCACAGCTTAAAGCTTGACGGTTCACTTGATGTTGGTTGTAAGCCGGACAACCATCGCAAGAACGCGATCCACCAGTACCATCACAGTGACCATCACCTGGGCAAGTTCCAGTGCTAGAAGTATCAGAAGATTCGGTTGAAGAAGGTGTGGCTTTTTTGATGGCGTTACGTTTCAACCAAGGTGGACGAACAGTGTTTCGAGCTTTGAGATACAATCCTATATTGTAATTAAGGAGATCAATTATTTCATATTAATATATACGTTGCAAATGGAATGGAATATTCAAAGCATGGTTCATAACAATTTTGAGAAAACTCACCACAAGCATTGCAAATCGTCTCTCCATTCGGGGCTCTCCTCCACAACGGAGTAGTTGTAATTCCGCAGTTAGCGCAAACAGTAGCGGATACATTATTACCTTCAGTTTTACAATTTCTGTTATTCAATTGTTGCACCGGTCCAGATGAAGAACCTTTACGCGATTGCTGGGATAAATGGTTCGACAAAACTGGTTGATGATGTTGGATTTCTGGTTGCAAATTCAAATTCTGCACTAATTGTTGTTGATAAGTAGTTTGATGTGATGTTGTTAGCAAATGATGATGTTGATGATGATGTTGTACGCTCACATCAGAATGTTGTTGATTATTTAACATTGGGTTTGCAGCAGATTGTTCAACGGGATGAAGATGATGTTGAAGTTGATTGGTCTTCATATCGACAATTGATAATATAGATGTTGATAGTAAATTATAGAGGTTGTGTAACTGGAGGTGCTCTTGTTTGCTTTGCGGTTGAGGAGAGGCGAAAACGAGTATGGTTGCAGTCGATGGCTTTAGAGTATTGAATGTAACCGAATTCGCGGAGAGAATGGGTAGATTTGAATTCTGTGTGGATTGTATTTCCTTGTTTGCAGTGGTTTATCGTTTTTGAGATTTTATTGAGACTATAGAATGTCTCTTCTTTTTTTAGAATAGAGTAGTGTGGTGTCCGAATGTTAATAGTGATTGTTGTGGCGGTGTGGTGGTGGTTGTTTAAAGGAGAGTTGGGCTTTCGATATGGTACAAAGCAAGAGTGCGGTCAGTGGTTGCGGGTCTAGAATAATTTGTTAAAGCAGTCCACTGATGCATTGGACAGTCAGCTAGAATGCGTCGTTTAGTGAGACACAATTAAATAAAAAGATTTAAGTTTAAAAAAAATATATAGAAAAGCGAAGTCGTCTCGCTATATAGTTATTATATTAGATTTCTTGATAAAATATGGCCGAGTTATTTTTAGTGATAGAGAAAACTTTTGTATAGTTATTAGTGTGTAGTGGTTGTGTGGATAAAACGTTCTTTATATAGTGTGTATACGAAATTAACGATGATGAGGTGTGTATCATATGGAATAAAGAGGTTATTTCAATTTATATTCGTTCCTTTCTTTTTTTCCCTGTCGCACAAATATATATATGTGTATATTTGAAATACATTAAAAAAGATTAATGACGATAAGATATTTATTTACTTAAAGTTTTTATTTACAGCAGATTTTTTTCGCTTTTACATTGGGAACACAAGATAAGATATCGAGGGGGATAAATAATAATAGTAATGGGGTGGGTGAAAAATAGGGTGAGTGACAAGAATTCAAAAAATATATATAAAAAGATTATATATATATATATATGGCTAATCTTTAGTTTCTATCCAAGCATAATACTTGTATATATTTATTTATATGACCGATAAACTGGCAGATGTCAAAATTATATCCTAATTTATTAATGTTTGTTTAGCCACGTGCGTCAAAGATCAATAATATCTGACTATTGATAGCAATAAATTAAGGTACGAGGAAAGCGATAAGCCGAATTGATGGTGTTTAGTCATTTTGCAACCTTTCAGCCATACAAATATCACACAATACATTCTTTAAAGTTATCTTTTTAACACCAATCAGTGCTGCGAGATTTTTGACATACACATAATTGTATACAAGAAAGGGGTGGTATTTAAAACAACACCACACATTTTTTATAATTTTTGTTGAGGATGTTCAGGATATGCATGCGTTCGTTTATCATTGAAGTAAAGGAAAACTTAAAAAACTTCTTCCCAATTTTAATTATTAGTAGCAGGCTCTTACGGAGGCTTTTTGATCAAAACTTTTATCATGTATATCGTCATTTGAGATACGAGTATCTTAATCAAACGTCATCAGCATCATTCACCATTTAATCTCTGTGTAAATGTATTCCTTATCATGATTCATGCACTCTGCGAGATAATGCAATGAGCATATGATTGTTTTCATGCATGCAATTATTATTATCAGTAAGATCAGTAAATCACAATCATATTATTGTGCTTTGCTGTTGTGTTATGCTTGTTACTTGTTTTGTCGATTATCAGTATTGTGTGGGGGAAGATTAATATATACGGAATTCTAATAACATTAATGCTAAAACTGTGAGATAATGATTAAATGAGAAAGATGCTACCCTCAAATTTATGTCATCAATATTAAACAATTGAATTGCGCCCACTTTTGTTTTATCAAATAAAAATATTTTTTTATTTTGTATATATATATATATATACATGTATATATATACATAATTACTGTTATTATTATCATTATTATTGCATAATCTTACGTTTGCCAAATCTTATCACACCGATACTATTTTTGGTTTTAAAAGCAATAGCGATGTTTTATCAAAAAGATCTAAAGCAAAGAAAAATGAAAATCATGGAACACCATCGTGCTTCGGTCTTTTGATTTATGTATTAATTAAATGAACTAATGATTTATAATAAATTAATTTACTATTTTACTGATATCTATTAGTGTTTTTTATGAAATTGAGGCATTTTCGCATCTGATTATTTCCCTATCACAAGAGCGTCATTGATGAACAAACAATCATTAATTACATCCGCATCTCTCCAGATTTCCTTTTCTTGAATTTTAGAAGAGGTATTCGTGCATACATGCAACATATGCACCTCGATTTTAGCCTTTTCCCTCTTCTTGCGTAATGACAAATTGTGTCTAGTGTTAGGATTAATTATCGTAATAGATTTTCTACGTGAATATTCATCAATCTTTCTTGTTTGAGTGATAGTTAGTAGGGTTATCTTTGTCGTACATGTCTTAAAGAGTTTTCAAGCCTTAAAGTTTTTAACCATTTTGGTAAGAAGGGAAAATTAAAATGTCTGATGTGAGGGGCAGTTCTGCAATTAATAATGTGGTCGCGTGATGATTATTATCACACCCGTAATAACACCCTCACCATATTATTTCATTTAACCCACCCTCTTTTCGACCCTACCTTTCCTTCCTTACTTTATCTTGCTCATTCTTCTCCAAAAATCCCGATTTTTGCCGAGCGGAGATTACTTATATCATACATTATGTGCATTGTATAGACGTGCTTACAAATCTAATGCAAAAAACGAACTACTGTTGTTATCATTACGAAGATCCCACTTTCATCTTTTTCATCACTCATCATCAATTATCAATTATCGGGAATCCATCTGTTTTTTTCTCCCGTGCTCTGGTTTATCGATAATAAAAAGTTATAGCTTTATCAAATTCGTTCCAATAATTTTTCCTGTGTGAATTAAAACACAGGGCAGAGAGAACAGGTCTGTGAACCAAAATATATTACGAAAGAAGATAAAAGAACGTGTCTTATTTCAAGGGTTTCATAGGGCTTCTTTGCACGAAAAACATTACAAAACTCATTACGAAACTGATTAGGAAAATGAGATACAGATGCACAACAAACACACAAAGTTTGATTAGGTCTGCTAAATTATCTTAAAAAAGATCAAGGTCTTTGATAATCAGAGTCGTTCATCTCATTACTTCTATTTATTGTGTACAATTTAAGCATTCATGTGATAGAAATAACGCATATATTGTGGTTTTTTTGCCTTTTTTTTTTCTATTACAAATTTAAGATATAACGAAATATTAATCAGATGAAGAAACTATTATTATTAAATTGGAAACTATAGCTTTGGAATCATAAAATAGCACTGCCAATTGATTTATCGATTTATCCTCAAAAATAAGTCATGGGGGGACGAAAGGTTACAAATGGTGTTTAATTGATGGGAATAGAACAGGTTTTAAAGTGTACAAATAATGATGTATTTCTTGGCAAGTGTTATATAATACCAGCAAAATGAAATTGTAAAATCCTTTCTAAAATGATGATGAAAATTTGCAGCTTCATGAAATTGCTCATTTTGAGCATCATATTATTTTCGCTATTTCTAATAAATGAAACAGACGCATCACCTGCATCTTTACTATGCTTAGTCAATAAAGAACGTTTCAGACATTGGAAAAGCGCGCTGGCGTTAGATGAGTTATGGTCTTTTCCATTGTCAAGCATTCAAATGAAGCATGTTATCGTTATATTGATGTTTTTATTAAAATAATGATGCGCGCACAGACGCCTCATAAGGTCAGCACAATTACACACGGATTTCATGGCAGCAAATAAGAATTTGACGCACGACGACCCGTCAGGTGATTTAGGTAAACGACTTGATCATCAAGGGTTTGATTGGTGGAGCGCTGGAGAGAACATCGCGCGTGGGTTCGAAGAAAACGATGATGTAGGAGTTATGCGCGCGTAAGTATTTTTATTCACAGATTGGGAATTGTCTCCATAATAAACATGTAAACAATACTGCACAAAATCGGAATGTATAAATGATAACTTAAATCTGATAATGTATATAGCTGGATGAATTCTCCTGGTCATCGCGCAAATATATTGAATAGCAGATACACGCATTTTGGTGCCGGATATAAGGACACATACTGGACACAAAATTTCGCGCAAGATGTTAATGGTCGTCCACCGAATGTGCCTAGATGCCCGACAGAAACAAAATCAAAGGATGGTGCTGGTGAATGACGCTCGGAGAAATCTTTAAGATTAGTTTCTTTGATATTTGAATTAGTATTTTCAGATTACAAAAGAAGATACGTGCGTGATATAAGAAATCTCGTATACACCTTTTTACATAAGGGAAACAGATTGTAATTTCATTATTAGCACCATGTATTTAATTATTCAATTTATACTTATATATATTTTATAGATGAACTATTTATATGCTAATCGGATTGCTTTACTACCAACAAATTGAATTCAATTGTTCAATTAAATAGTTTATGCCTAGTTTGTAGCATTCCTTCGAGCTATTATAAATAACAAGTCTAATAATTTCTATATCAAAAGAGTTGATTTCTATCGTCAACCAACTAATTTATAGTTCATCATGAGCCCCAGCATTCTTTTGATTATTTTTATCTTCTTCACCATCGGGACAAACAGCCGGAGTTTTCATTTTCATCACGTATTCGCATTTTCCTGGTTCAGACACGGCAACAATCTTATTCTCAGACGCGCATTCAAATGTTACCTTGATTGTTAAAACGAGAAAAATGAGCAAGAACTAGTGCTTAAAGAAACCAAATTGAATATCAAAGGATTTAATATATTAACTTTAAGAGATCGCGCTGGACCATTCCAGCATTTTACTCCATGCTCGTAAATTTGTTTAGTGTAATATGCAGGATCGTCTTGAGATTCGGCTCCGATCCATCGTCCATAGTTGCTTTTATTAAAAATTAATTAGTGTTGTTATATTGTAATAATAATAAAATATGCATGTAAATATGTACCCTAAATCTGTGGATGAATAATCCTTATTGCTACGTTGAGTTGCTCTACCAAATAGACAAAACGAATACGTGTACCTAATAGTAGATAGAATATTGAAGAAATCAAAAATATCCCAACGTTTTTATAATTTCAACAGCAATTCCTTAATTGTTATAATCAATTGGTGACTTACTCTCCAGTACCATGTTCAAAACATTCACCGTCTAATTTTGCAAATTCATCGTTGCGTCCGTAATCTCTGGCAAGTTTGCCATTGATGTCATTGATATGATTCTCGATTTCACGTTGTTCATTTTCTGCTGTATTAAGACTATCACGTACAGCTATAACCTCTATAAACAAAGGTATATATAGTTGTTGGTATAAATAAAGTTGACATTATGGTTGAAGAAGCCTTACCTTTAGAAATTCCAGAAACTGCGGATTTTTGTTTTGTCCCGTTGGAAAAAGTGAAAACATCTAAACCAATGGATTCCATAATATCATTATAAGTGGATTTAGCTGCATCGATTATTGACCCTAGAAGTGAAGATTCTAATAAATTCATTAATAGGTTTATTTAAAATATCAAGTTTTCAAAAAGCTCATCAAGAGAGCAACAATAGCTCACCATCTTTTTCAAGTGAATGTCCCGGTGGTGTTATATCTTCTGCTTCGTTATCTTCATTATCATTATCTTCATCATCTAATTCATCCGACAAATTCTCGTCTCTTTCGTTCTCATATTCTTTGAGAAACTCATCATAACCCGCAATCGCAGTCTTGACAGCCATGTCATGGTAATTTTGGTTATGATCATTTTTTAGATCTCTGAAAATTTTGAGCAATGTATCAATGTTTTCGTGTAGTTTATCGATGCGTTCATGTAATGATTCAACGCGTTCTTTGCATTTCTTTAGTGCTTCACGTCTGGCTATAAATAATTATATATTTACATTTATGTGATTAATGATAAGAATAGTTAGGTTTAAAGATATATTGTAATTTACCAGTTGTTTTTGTGTTAAGTTGTTTCTGTTTTCTTTCTTCCTCTTCAGCTTTTTCTAAAGCCTCTTTTTTAATAAATCGATTATAGGTAAGTACTCACTTTATGCAGTTCATTAATCAGAAAATCAAATAAAACTTTATGAATATACCTTTACGCTCTTTCACTCTTGCTTCCGCGGCAGCGAGTTCGACTTGCAACCTTTCTAAATTTGCTTGCTGCTCTGATCTTAACTTTCTACCATGTTCGATATATTCTCGTTTTATTCGAGCGCCCTGAGAGAAATTTTATCGACCCAACCAAAGAACAAAATAATCAATCAGTTACACGTAAATTAAAGTACCGCGAAATTACGAAATAAAAAATTTGACACATACAACTAACTAACCTCGGCCTGTATTCTCGCAATTTCCCTTAATCGTTCACGATGTTCGGCACCGACTTGTTCACAACTATTTGGGCATTGGATTTTTCCGTCATATTCGTCTGAGCCATCACAACATTCCGGCTCTGTAAGAGAAAGTAAAAAATAACTTTTAATCACATGAATTTTTTAGTGTTATTCTATCATTAAATTAAATTATGATCCGGATTAAAACTAACCACATTTTCCATCGTTAACACGAAAAGAATCGATGTACGCGGGAATATGACCTTCATTCTCACAATAAAATCGTCCATTCATACATGCAGAAGTACCTTAGAAACAGGTTAAATCAAAAATTAATTTAAAGAGTTCATTCAAACCATCCAATCAATTATAAGATTTCGAATATAATTAATTAATTAATTAATTCACCTGGTTCATCTGATCCATCTTTACAATCACAAAAATCATCATTTATAGCGTCATATGGTATTCTAGCTGAACCGTCTAAACACGCCCAATCCGCGTCTGTCTGTTCGTATAGGTGTATTTCTATGTCCGATATAAAATAATATCAATTAATTCCACATATTACAGCCAAGCCTAGTGGCATGCCACAAGTGCATACACTCACGATCAAATAAATACATACTTGACTTTGGAATTCCTCGGAGTCTATTAGTAGCAATAGTATTATTATTTGAGACTTTAGCATCTGCTTCTAACAAACACGTAAATAAAAGCAAAAAATATGTTCCTCGAGAAAGAAAGCTTTTGATATTTAAAAGTTTTCCTCGTTCCTTGCGAAACATGATATTTTATAAAATAGCATAAAGTGAAAAACTAATTGTCGGAGTTGTTTGATTGGCTGATCATCTAACTTCTAGTTTATCACATGATTGCAATCGACACTTACGGGAATTAATTTTTATTTACTTGTGTCCCAGATAATGAGGGTCTCATGTCACAATTATATGTCTTGAAGCGTTTTCTTGAGACGGGATCAAATGGAGCTATTCTCATAATTTGAAATAAAAACTGAATGTAGATTTTTATAATTATGGAATGTTCGAGATCCATTCGTTTTGGTATTTGGTAGTTTTGAAACAGGATATAATGCGAGACTGAATCATGCAACCGTTACATCGTATGGACAAAATCCTTAAAATGCTATTTATGCAAACACCATTTTTTGCTTTGGCAATATGGCGTACTATGATGCAATGTATCCATTTTAAATGAATTCCTTGGCAAATAGACATCAATTAAAAAATCTGGTCAAAGCTCTTCTATTACGTGCATAAAATGAAGGACACCTGACTTTTAATTTAATTCCTGCCCACTATCCAATAATTGCACGCCAAGTTTTTGTAAAATTTATGAAGGTAGATGTTATAAAAACGGACGCCTTTTTACCAAAGGGCTCCTCCCCAACAAAAAAGCAAGATTATCAAATATTGTGGAAGATAAATTGATGACTTTTTGCCTTATTTGTTTAAAAGCTGCTTTTGGAGTCGTTTCGCCCCAAAAATACTTATTATATCATTATCTCTTTTTATTTGTCATTATCATTTGACCAACAAATTAATTACGTCTTGTGTACATTGTTTAGTATTTCCGTCGCACCAACCAATCACCCGAATTATAAATATATATCCAAACGACACGCTTAATTTGGTAAGAGCGCGAAATTTCTACGCTGTAATACAATAAATTAAAGGCCACATGACCCAACACAGAATAGAACCCTGTCATACCGAAAAAGTCTTAAATATAGAACTGTTCATCGTTTTAAGCAAAATCTAAAATTTTTCGAATCAGATCTCAAACTTTGGTGATTTGTTTTTGTTTATTATCAAAATCCTCCACCTTCTAACCAAAACTCAATATAAATAATTATAATAATCATACCTTCTGTATATATTTATATATCTCTCTATATACTCTATATATCTTTAAAAGTGACATTTCGTCAATTAACCCCCCCAAAAAAACAAAACTTATTCTAACTCGTTGAAATATCTAAAAAAAAAATGAAATTGTCTGTAATTCTTTTACCGGTAATTCTTTTACTCGCTCCCCTCATTCTTGTTGTGATGGCGTCATTTACTACAGTCGCTGTCGTAACTTCTGTGCTAGCTCTAATAGTCGTGTGGGTGCGATTAGGTTTTCTTGCCGCAGAATTCTCGGGTGGTGTTTTAATGGACATTGTTGGGTGGGGAATGAGAAAATGGGTTAAAGCAGAAGATCAGACGAACGTCAAGGTTGCTAAAACCAAAGTTGAGAATAAAAAGATCAACTCGAAAGAATACAACTCATATCATCAACATAAACAAAAGAAGCAACAACGTAAACAGCAGAAGGAATTAAATCGAGTCGCCGCCGCAAAAGTTAATATGTGGGAAACCAATAAGATTTCTGTGAATTTCGAAGATAAGGTTCTCTTGAAAGAGCTTGCTCTCAATGGCGGCGAGTTTTATGCAAAACGCCCGCATGGAAGAAGAGCGAAAAGTGACAATAATTATACTTTATAATTAGTCACGAAAGAAAAAAAACATTATCTTATTTGTAAATCCAAACCATTCAAACATTATTTTCTCTAATTGTATCATAACTTCTTTGCATTTAATTCTACTCAAATCACACTATACATATTGAATGATGGATATATATAGATCGACGGTGATGGTACAAGATCTTACGTTGTGTAGACGAGATGATGATGGCGACAAGGAAAGATTGACTATTTGAGTTGGGCTAAGTTTTAGATAATCTTAGAGCAACTTACTTACTTTAGCATAATTATTAATATATTGTCAGCCATTTTCTTATGGCATTAAACGCAGGAACGTTTTTGTTGTGTATAAACCAAATAATCAATCTTTTGATCATCAGTCTGTATCGGGATCTCATTATTCCCTCTCTTAAAATAAATCATACTATCGCTGTGTTATTTTTCCTTGACCGACATACGTAATGCCTAATTATATATCATATTATGATGATAAGATGACACGTCATGCGTGTCATACAGTAGGCGCATTAATATTAAATACATATTTACAGTAACGTCTGCATATATACATATTCTGCATATGTACATAAATAAAAAAAAACGAATTCTTACCTCAGCAAACAGACAGACAGACAAATAGATTTACGAAAATAGGGCTAGACTTAAAAAGATAGCATAACAAGACACAAAAAAAAATGACCACACTAATTCCTCGGGAGGGCGAATATAGATCAGGACTTAACCTGATCTATAACTCAGATGATTAATAAGCACTCAGGAAAGATCTTTTTGCAGCCAATTTACTTTTTATATCTCGTTTTCTCTTCTGTGTTTCTTTCTCGCATCAAAGATCAAATGTTGTATCTTTTTTCGGAGCATCTCTTTCATAGCATTTCTTCACATTTATTAGATTACAGAAAGATCACTAAATCCACGGGATCAGTTACAGTAAATCAACAACTTAGTATAGTAGGATTCGATGAAGATAGCTCGAGCAACTGAGACTAAGAAACGACAATTCAGGATCCGGCAAGTCTTATTGGACAAATGCGATTTAGGCTGCGTTGGTTAATCAGATAAGAAATTTGGTATTGGTCTTAAGAACAGACGAGATGAGTTTCAAACTGCATGGCTCCTGAACTTTGCGACGAATATGGATAATGCCTCTCTATAAGATTGCTTTGTTTCTTTTTTTGTCGCTAGGAGCAAAACATGATGATATGAAAAGCAGAGAATAAAGGTTAGTCATATATTGCGTATTAACACTTGCTATTTCAAGTTTAAGCGTAAGTTTTTGTTTTATTTAATTTGGTAGATAACTCGGTCAACTCTGGATTTTTTAATGTATATTACACGCCAATCGGTAAAAGCAGTTTTTTACATATAGTATTTTACAAAAGTACAAATATTTTTTTTTGTTTGGTGCTTGATAGGTGGTTTCTTTTAGAACCGCTTAATAAATATTCCGTTCACGAAAACACACCTCCATCTCAAAAAAAGTCTCTAAAATTGTCTTTTTTAATATAAAGGATTTTTTTTAGCTCTGAATTGAATTCATTTGTATCTCATCGTCATTAGGTTTTCTCGCATTAAATCTCTCGGTTGTTGATTTATATATCCACCTTGTTGTCTACTACTAGGAATCATATTGTTGACATTTGGCATTTCTCGTCGACCTCGTGAATCTCTCTGATCTACACGAGGAGGTCTACTACCTCGAAGATCACTGCTCTTTCGACGACTGCTGTTATTTCTATTCATCACATTCCCTTCTCCGGATCTATAATTTTGATCACGTTGATTCGGATAATAATTATTATTTTGAGATTGATTATTATAATATTTCGAATTTCTACGTGTATCTTCCACCGTTGAGTGCATTGATTTTGGCCGAACTTTTGGAGAGCTCATATGTCCAGTTGTATTACTATATGCGTTATTATCTCTACCTTGATATGGCCCTTGATTGAAAGGGAATTGAGCGCTTCTTGGTGAATCACCGCTATTACCAGAATGTGAAACATACCGATCTGACATTTGCAATTTTTGAGGTTCATTTTGGTTCCTTTGATAATTACGCGATTGTTTTGATGAAATATTATTATCCTGATACGATTTAGGAGCAGAAGAACCACTTTGTAAATAGAACGGGAGGGGAGGAACAGGTGGTGCATCAGATAGGTTATAATATGGTGGATTCTGTGTTAATAAATTTGGGAGTGATGAAGAATGACGAAGATCCGAATAATCTATATGTGTCTGAATGGGTAATGAAGTTCTTCTTAACCCTTCTGGAATTGGAGAAAGCCTCGGTGAAAATCTTTTAGAATTACGCTTTGATGACGATGAACTTCTCTGTAGATTCGAGGATGGAATTTGTGACATGGAAGATTTTTGATCTGGAATCTGTGATATTAAGGTAGGAATATTTGATGATATTGTTACAGCAGAAGGTGGTATAGGAAGAGGTTTATTCTGTGGATGGGTTTTTGTTCGTCTATGTCCAGGCACAAATTTCTCGTTATTGGTAATTGAATTTCGTGCTTCTTCCCGTGATAAACGGGGTTGTTGTTGATCATTAAGTGATGATGGTAAAAATGGAGTTGGTGGTGTCCTTGGAGTTGGAGGCGTCATGATTACAGTTGGTACAGTTAAACCGGTTATGGCTGATGTTGATTTTGATCTCCTCCTTGATTGTTGTGTATTAGACGATCTTTTAGAAGGCGGATCAAGTGGTGCTGCATCACGTGTACTACCAAATGTCTGAGTACGTTTACGTCGAAGAGTTGGCGTTGATTGTTGTTGCTGCTGTATTGATGCTATTATTGGCGGTGCTGGATTTGGAGTCGGTGATTGATTTTGTTGTCCGCCTCCTAATTCATCACTTCTTTCTGAAACCAGTGGTCCCGAAAAAGATTTCCGACCTTCCGGGATATTTGTTGAGAGATTCGGATTATTATATGCAGACTTTGGCGCCGAAGAAGATCTCCGAATTCTCGGGATATTTGTTGGGATATTTGGATTATTAGGCACAGGCTTTAGCGCTGAAGGATGTGGGTCAATCTTATTTGATTCGAGAGCACTCTCCTCTATTTTTTCCAGTTTTGGGCGATGTATAAAAGGCGACGGTGGGTGATTAACTATATCATCTATATCCAAATTGCTTCTTTTATTAGTTAGCTCAGTTGTCGTTATTGAAGACTGGTCGGTTGGTCGAGGTCTCGATGCTTCTAAATCCAGTAAATTTGTAGAAATATGTGATGGGCTAAGTTTCTTGCAGCTGTATAATGCTACGATGCCTAACGTTATCTGTTATATTTTTCATTGTTACTAATAAAGCACTAACGAAAAAAAATCACCTTTAAAATAGAAATACGTCTCACATACCATCATTGTCACCTGTATTGATACCTGGATAATAGCCACCTTTTGTGCAGATTCGACTCGATCCGTTTCATACGCATATTCGGTATCATATGGTGCATTGGGATCAATTAGACTCTCTATCGTTTTATCTTTTAGCGTGAATATGAATACTAATTTCAGCGCTTCAATTATGCTTAAGAATATTGTGGCGAGCCAATGGTCGCGCACGTATCGTGAACAGAAGGCTGCGTTGTTCTAGCGTGAATTATTTTTAATGCGGGACATTGATTTTTTAATAAACTAGAGTTTTATTTCGAATCAGGAAGTGGATGAATTTATGAAAATAAATACCCTGGTAGCACCCAAGATCCCCCATAAGCCTACCGGCGCACAAATAAGATATGCGGCTGCATAGCATATTAAAAGTGGGCCCGTGATATGAATTGTAGTCACTATGGAAATATAAAGTTGATCAATGAAAAATTCCGGATGTAATTAAAATATTCTCGTCTTAAAAATTTACCATTTAGTCCGGAGAAAGTTAACACAGCAACTGCTATTCCAAAACACTAAGTCAAAAAATTTAATCAAACATTGAAAGAACTTGGAAACAAACACAACGATAAAACGTAACCACTTACAGAAAACAAGGCTGATACACAAAACACGTAAAAGCGTGGCGAAATTCGAGGCATTTCGCAAAAAATACGTACACAACTATTATTTGTGCTATTATATAGTTTCCCTTTTTATCTCTCTCTCTTTCGTAAATAAAATTAACTATCAGATATACGAATGTGTTTTTTTCTAATCTAAATAACTTGTAAAATCGCAATAACTAAATATTTTATATGTATATGTTGTAAAAGTATATATATATTGTGAATATATATAGAAAGGAGTTTGCACCGCAAAGCTCCAACGTTTTCGTAAGAAATACCGGTATATCAACAGTTTAGAGAAAAAAAAAGCATGTGGTAAAACGACCAGCGTTGTTTGTTTTGGAATATGTATCAAATCTATAAAAAGCGAGAACAACTCTATATTTATATATTTATACCCATGCGGCTGTATGTAGATAGTCTCAAATCTTGGCGCTTTCAAAATTTTCGAAAAAAAACGGGTTTTTGCTTCCAGAAAATTTTCTGCTTCTAACTACTTAAATCATCTCACAGAAAAAAAACGTGAAGGGGCGAGTCATAAAAAGAGTACTGTGTTTGCTGCTGTTCAACAATGTGTGTAGTCAAAACTCCAGGTCTACTAAACACAGAGAAGACATTCATTCTTTTATTGTTATTAACAATTGTCATATAACAAAGTACCAAACATGGTGGAAAAAGAGAGGTCGGGAGCAAACATATAGTTAAAAATTTGAATCCATTCAACACCTAATTTGAGCGACATATGCTAAAACATTGTCTAAGAAAGGTTATGAAAAGCTGGATAGACATTGTTTGAAATATTTGAATACCTAACCGATGTACAAATATGCAGGGCACATACAAACAAAAACGTCGAAACGTCTAATCGCCGAAAATATTTTGCTTGTTGCCTATGATTGGATGGCGGAGAATTTTTATAATAACTTAGTGGTGCCGAAAATAATCGGCAGACCCGTGATTGTGAGCCACACAAGCCATCATATTTCATTGGGTAAGTTTAAAAAAGGCAGTCTCATGATCATCGAATATGTGTAATTATTATGATTGGATGTTAAATAATATACCGAATTTTGGACTTTGATTTAATGTGAAAGCCGAAACAACTGTATGTATATACTATTATTCAGTTAATAACTGTGACAGATTAAAACGAAATTTTCTCTATTTTAATATGAAAATTTAAAATTTTTTTGGGAACAATTTTCTAGGCTTTTTTTGGAATTTGGGTTAGGATTTAGAGTAACTTTTGTTAATAGAAGAGTATATATGAATTTCAGAAATATTAAAAGAGGATTCAAAAAGATTCCAATTTCATTTTAATCCGATTTCATTTTAATCTGCCATAATAACTGCTGTCAAATGGCGTATTTTTTTCTGTTAATGATAAATAAAAATAAGTATAAGAAGAATTAATAATCAGAGCACTATTTATTTAAAAAAAATAATTAAGAATTATAATCAAGTGTTATAATTTGATAATAATATTATCATTCATGCAATTTCTTAAAATAAACTACTATTCATTATGAATGATACTTAAAGAGAATCAGTTGTATTGTAATTAATAAAGATTATAATAAATAAACTATTAATGTATCAAACTGGTAATTTATTAATACTTATATTAAATACTTTATTTGTTATTCATCTATATTTAACAAATTAGATATAGTGATAGATCAAAATATCTCTATATAAGAACTTCAATAATTTAGTTAAAAATTTTAAATACATATATATTAATATTGTATAAAGTAAATTTCCAAAAATTAAAGTGTGATTATATTTATAGACTTATTATATAAATAGATATAAGTTATCTTATCATCATAAAAAATACAATTACTTTCACATTATCAACAATAAATATTAATTGAATTTTCTAACTTGTTTGATATACTAATTTATATAATATCTGATAAATTTTCTCATGATAGTTCATCAAATACTAATCTAAATAGTTAGTTTTAATATTATATTAATATAATAAAGTAATATTTATATATAAAATAAATTGTTTAATTTTAATAATAAATCCTAAATAATCTATAAATTTATCTAAAATGAAAATATATATGTATTATAAAGTAATAAGATTAATTATTAGTTTTATATGAACTCATAACACAAAAACTGATTCATAAGCAATATGTAATTATTACTTTGTATAAAAAAAACAAGTTTCATTAAATAAAAATCCTATTATTAAAAAGTATGACAAGTTATGAATTATTAGCAAGTGAGATAACTCAAATTAATTAATAAAAAGTAATAGAGAAAATGAAGAACTTATTTATAACTTAAATAATCTTGAAAAACTTGTTATTATATACTTCTAAGAAGAAAATAAAAAAGAAAATGACCATATTCAATTTTTAATCATAATTGAATTAAATGATAAACTTATTGAGATACTATTAAATGAAATGAATCAAAATAATATTATTAATAATATTTTTCATCATATTATAAATATCTTAATAATTTTAATTAAGACTGAATCAAAATATTATTGGAAACTGAATAAATTTTATATAAATACAAAGACTAATCAATCTTATAGATATACTGGTACTTACTTATCTTATTCTTAAAGAATTGAATAATGATATAAATATCTTTATAATTAATCTATATAATATATCAGTGAATTATAATCAGATATTAAATAATTTCTTTATAATAGAAAAATCAAGATAAATATTAATATCTCTTTAAGATAAGTCAATTTTATATTTAATCACTTATCTCATCAGAATTTAATATACTATAAAACTAGATTATCTCAAGTAATTATAAATTAGATTAAAATATATATAAATCATAAACTTTACAAAGTAGAATTTCATAAAAGACTTTCTAAGAAAAAGTTAATAAATCTAACAAAACACAATTATTATTAGGTATACTATTGAGTATTCAAACTTTTTGCTAAAAAATATATAACAAATATAAAAAATCAAGTTATTTTAATAAAAGATTATATATAACAATCTAATTTAATTAATATAAGCTATAAATTAATTCTTTATTTTGAAAATAATTTTGTCAGAACACTTGGATTTACTATATCTTTTATAAATACTATTTTAAAAAATAATATTAATGAGCTTATTATTAATTCTATATTCAAAACAAATCAAGAAAAATTTGAATTATTTGCCTTAGTAGTTAATTATGAAGATTTTGAAATACTGCTTACTTATTTATATCTCAATATATTTATTACATCTGAAGATCTATTATAAAATCTAATAAATATATAAGATTATTTTATTAATAATTGTAAATAAAATAAAATGTAATATGAATAAGTTTTAATTTTATAACTTATAATTATTTTTATTATTTAAAAGTATTCAGATCTGAAGTTAAAAATATAAAATAGATAGATTATATTTATAATAAAAGAAATGAATACAAAATGTAAATTAATAATAATCTATAAATAAAATATATATGGATTGAACAGAATTAATTAACTTAATTCATATTTTTGAAGAATGATTAATTATAATCCAATAAGTAATGATAAATATAAATATAATAAATTAAATATAAATAATAATAAAAGAAGAATGAATAAAATTATAAAGAAATAATTAATTAAAAATATTAATAATCTAAATTTGTAATTATCTGAGTAACAATGTGCTAAATCTAGATGTATTAAATATATAATGATCATCTGTGTATTCAGAGTGAAAATAAAGCTAATCTGTTATACAGATAGTACAAAATGAAGATTTAAGTTAAAAAAATCTAAAAAAAGATAACTCAATCAAAATTATTACATAAATTTATGATTTAAATCAGTAACCTTTTGAATAAAAAATTAGTTTTTTTTAAAGACTTTAAAGAAATAAATTACAAAAAAATATTAAAGAAACTTATAAAATTATTATAATTATTATCTTTTTCATCATTATTTTTTTTTAATCATATTCTAAGCTTATAACTTTTGGTATTTTTTCTTTATCACTTACTCTGTCTCTTTAATTTCTTTTTTTATTATCTCTATTATCATTTTTAATATTACTAGCTAGTTATTTTTTATAGCTTGCTAAATATCTAATATATAAATAATTTTTAATATAAACTTTAAAAAAATTCAAAATATTACTTATTATAAATGCATATATATAGCTTGCTATCAATCTATCTTTATATTTGATTCCTAGACTTAATAAATTAAGAAGAATATTACAGATAGTTAGTATTATAATAAATTAATAAGTAAATTTTTATTTAACTTTATCTTAATAATATAGAGTTAAAAGAGACTGAATTAATTAAAAAGTGAAGAGAGAGAAATTAAATTATAACTTTTAATAATAACAAAAATTTCTAAAATCTATATCAATATCTATGAATATTATCTTAAAAAGAATAAAATAAATAAAAAATAAATAAATAAATTATAAAAATTATAAAAATTAGCTTAGTAAAGTCACTAGTAATCAATATAATTCAAGATTTAAAATAATTAAATAGTAAAATTACTATTAATCAAGAAGATTATAACTAAAAAAATATAAAAACTAAAATATATAAACTAAATAACTAAACAAAAATAAAAAATATAACTTATTTATAGTAGAGGTCTTCTACTCTCAAAAATAATATAATAAATTAGCTGGTCTTAATCTTCAAAATGCATAAATTTTATGTGATTTAAGTTATTGGTTGTGG